CTGACTGAACCACAATCGGGCTGACCCCTTCAGTGTCACGGGGAAAGCCCGACACATGATCTCGTCTGGAAAGGCATGGAGGATCATGAGGGTACGGTAGGTCTCCAGATGGTCGACCGGGTCTGTCGTACCGTCAAAGGAGTCAATGGTGGGCATCTTGAACTTGGCGGGCAAAGGTTTGTCCCGGATAGAGGCAACAAATGGTGAATTTGCCGTGGTAGAGGGTTTATGCTGAATATTCTACATGACCCCTTAGAGTTGGAGCTTCATTGCGCGGAGCTCAGCGTCCCAGAGGGGAACGTCGTCACCATGGTCAGTCAATGGAGGCTGGACGCTGCTAGCTTCCCCTTCAGGGGCTGGTGCTACGACCGACGGGTGTGGGGGTGGTGGTGGATTTATGTGTGGGTGGGGAGGTTGCAAACCTTCCAGGTTGGGCGGATGGAGTTGTGGAGCAGTATAGCACAGGGTTCTTTCTTGGTTGGGGGGAATATCTGGAGGTGGTGGAGGAGGAATCGGAAGGTTCCTTTGGAGTAAAGCATTTATCAAGGCCTGGTTTTGCTCGGCCATGCGGTTAATGCTGTTGGTAAGCTCGATAAAGTACTGTGGTGGGTTGTTTGGATTGGGGGGGTCGACTTGATGGTCGGCAGTATTATTGTGAGAAGTCATAGATCTAGTCGTGACCATGCACTTTGACGGGTAGGAGAGAAAGGTTGTTGGAACGGGGCCTCTGGTGACGGTGAACACAACCAGCGCGAGAAGCAAAGCGTTCCCACAGATGGCGCCAACTATTGATGCTGTTCGTCCCAGTGAATGGATTGGGCAGGTCCAAGCTCTTCAAACCCGCGTCCAAATGATCAAGCCCACCGGATAACCTGCAGGCAAGTTCAACGGGGAACGGGGTAGTCCCCCAGTGAACTCTCCGACGAGCAAGTTAGGAAGAGAAGTAATGCGTAGATGGAGAGATTAGAGATAGAAAGCTTAACCTTTTTCTTGTCTACAATATTCGCTTATATCCTTTGGCAATCATTTCGCTGTCCCTTCTGACCTGCTCTCCTTGCCGAAAGCCTATGCTGTAGCTTACCTTGCTCAGGGTAAGGGGGTCCTGTTCCGGCGGAGATGTGTTGTCGTAATAAATGCTGTGATGAGCTGCATTAATGGTGATGTGCAGTGGCAATAACTTTGCAGATCTTTGTCTGCTGATGTAGCTCGTCCTTCACCCGCCACGTGCCTGAATGCCGTTGGTTCTTGATGCCATATTGGATTCCAGCTGTTCTGGACTCCATCGACTGGGTTATGCATTGGGCCCCGAATGATGGGCTCGGGTTGCTTATAGTGGTTCATGGCCTTTGTGGGCCTATCCATGTCAACATATATATATATATATATATTTGTTGATAAATTGTAATCTCCTATATATAAGTATAAATACAAGGACTTCAGGGAAATAACCCTAGTGTTCTCATAGTCTCCTATTTTCTTATAACGTTATCTATCTTCTCTCCTCTCTTTTCGCACTTTCGTTATTAATTTAACCTTTCGTCAATTCTACTTACAATACAAAATAAGTATAAGAAAAATAAAACCTTGTTTGGGATGATAGATTTTTAGTCAAAAAGTCAAAAAAATACTATAAATTGTCACATCTTTCTACTTTTCTGCACATTTTTTCGAAAAAAGTCAAAAAAACTACTCCCTTTGTCACAAAATATTAGTCCCTTATTCCATTTGTCATTGTCCCAAAATATTAGTCACTTTTCAAAAATCAAGGACTAAAACAATATGAATTTCCTTTTTTGCCCTACTTTTAAATTCATTAACAAAACAAAAAATACAATTATAACAATTGATATTCCTAAAAAAATGTACTATCAACGGGTAATTTTAAAAAATTAATATTTTTTAAGTGCAATAATTGTACTATAAAAAAGAGTTGAATTCCCCAAAAGGGACTATTATTTTGGGACGAAGGGAGTAATTAAAATAGCTAATTCTCAAACGAGCCCTAAAAGTAGTAACAAATTGTTAGCTAAAACCAAAATTGGTACCACCATGCTAATGCAGATTATCATGAGAATATCTTGTGACCATCTTTTTTAAGTCCATAAATGTCAAAATCAATTTTTATAAAATCTTAAATACATATTACATTACATGAATTTTGTCTTGATAATTACAAAAATGGCCCTTGTTAGAAGGATGGCCCTATTGCCATAGCAAATATTGTTAGGTCAAGAATGAGAATAACTAAACATGACATAAAATATGGTTGGGTTCAATTGTACCTAACCATATCTGCTTTGTCAAATGTTTTAGCACTATAAGCTAATAGTGATAATTGCCATTAAAATAATTATATCTTTACATAAATAAAGTGTGACTAAAAATAAATTTGTAAGCGTATTATACATAGGTTCATTTCCTAACACCTTCTGCTTTTGAGACAATTCAACATAGTATCAAAGCTCTAATTCCAAGAGGTTTGCGGTTCAAGTTTTGTCACCCTCGTTATTTTTGTCACTATGCACCTACGTTACATGGACTTGGATACAAGTATCGAGCACGAGTGCATGTCTAAGTGTCAAAACTTTTATAAATTTAAATCTTAAGATATTGGGATATGTTTCCAAAATCAAATACGAGTATGGACAATTGTTATGGACACACATACATATTACATATTATATATATATATATATATATGTATATATTTGACATGTAAGGTATTCAAGGCCAGCTTATGAAAATCCCTACAGTCCAAACAAGCCTTCTAAAACAAGTTTATTCCCTGTGGTTTGTGGCCCCAAGAGTTTTGCTGACAAGAAGAGTCGAACCTAAGACCTTGAAGGAAGCAAACCCCCAAATCCCAGGCCTCATCCACCATGCCAACCCATAGTGTTATTACATATTATATAATATACTTAGATAAGATGTTAATTATGTAAAAATGTACTTGAAATTTTATTATGTGTTTGGATATTATTTTTATTTTCATTAAATTAGTTTATATTTTTCCAAAAGTTAAATATAGCGACAACTTTGATATTATTATTAAATCAATCCATTAAATCAAAAAATCTAAAACTAAAAATATTTCATATATTAAATTTATCGATTACACATTAAAAGCCTAACAACCACCCATTATATGATTATTATCCAAACACATAATAAAAATTAATTTGATAAAAAAATAAATAAATAAATGTGTAAAAGATTTATCAATTTTACATAATTTTATCTTTAGTGGGTAGAAATAATTTTTACAAATTCAAAAATATTTTTTTGACATTTATTTGTCAAATTAGTTTATATTTTATCAAATTGGCGACTTTGCCATTGAAATTGAGCAACGGTATCTTTAATTATCCTTATTTAGAACAAGATTTAAAATTTAGGGTCAAATGTGTCACAATTAAAAAATTAGGAACCAAAGTGACACGAACCCCAAACTATAGGGACTGTTAGTGTAATTCGCCCTATAATTTATATAATTTTCTTTGATTTACTAATTATATTTATGGATAACTTTCAATTTGTGAAGAAAAAAAAATGAAGTATGTTTCATATTAAAAATAATAATCTCATAAACATAAGTTCAAAATAAAATATGTCAACATAATAATGTAAAAGTATACAACTTGAAATCTAAATTTTGTTCAATAAATTTAACAAAAGAGAAATAGATATAAGTTAATATTCAAATAAAATTAAGTAAAAGAGTAATAAAATCTTGTAAAACTTGAAGATTGGACATTCAAAACATGTATAAATATTTACTTAAGCTCTATGTAAACAAAGAAAAAATAACATTACATACAAAATTTGAAAAAAAATAAAAATAAAAATAGAAGGGTAACAATTGTAACTACTGTAACGATACTGTAGAGACAATGTAACGGCCGTAACGGGTGGCTATAACCACCACAATTGTTACGTAACGCTGTTACGTAATAGTTGTGGCCACTTTTAAAAAATTCAAGGATCCAAAGGTCTACATTAGGTACGAGTTTCGGACACAAATTACACACCCGTATACTTATCATATCCAGTGGACATAGATACTTCGTGAGAAATAGAAGAGTCCATGTAACATAGTTGCGCACTCAACTCTAGTTGCACACCATGTTCTCTCAATCTATTTGTTAGTCGCACGTGCGAGACGAAGTCGAACGTGCGAGGAAGTGTTAATTTGATATACATTGTTAGACACATTTCCTAACAAGTTAATGTTTTGAAACAATTCAACAAAATCATCAATATATTTCAAGGAAAAATATTTAGGCAAGAAATTAAGCTAATAAATAGATACTTGGTGTGAATCGGGTTTCTCCAAAATCTCATTCAATAAAAGATAAAGAAAGACTGAAATTTTAGTTTGAAAGCAAATCCAAAATATAAAATCTTTCAACTATTACACACACATATTATTGCATACAAATGATATATACCAAAATATCATCTATATTAAGACCAAATTTGAATATGAAGCAATAAATCTAAATTTCATGAATGGGTCTCAATCAAAAAAATTATGTTAAGACATAAATTATAGAAAGACTTTTTATCAGCCATAGTAGGACTCTTTAGTAGCCCTAATAATAAATATTATTTTGTATTATACAATTTATATCATTGTTGTTATTTTAATGTTTAGAAAGCAATATTTATGTTGTTATGTTGAGCAACCTAAGCAGTTCAAATAAAGAAACTCTTTTCATATGTTGTACCTACATTTGAAAAAAGCATGCTGCCCAATGACTAGAAGAAATTAAGACTATGAATCTCATTAACAGGCGTATCATTCTTAGTAATGTAATTTCATTCCTAATCTTGCATTCCTATCATTGTAACCGGGACTAAAAATTGATAATATATTCATTATGCTAAATAGAGTTATATGCTCCATCTAATGTGTCATGAGTTGAGCAAAGCACCTTTTGAAAAATAGTATGCCGTAGAGATTTCCGTGAAGGGATTTCTTTCTTCACAACAAAGAGATAATCCCAAACCAAATAAAAAACCAACTAATAATGAAAGAAATCATTTTGCAAAGCAAAGGAAAAGTAACAGAATTTCAAGAATGTAAATTGCAAGTCTTCTTAGATAGTATCAAACACCATCAGAGTGGACATCCATATTCTCTTCCCTAAGTAGTGCAAGTTTTAAGCAGTGATTACAGAGCCCTCTGTTCCTTCTAACACGTGCAAACTCTGTAGTAGCGATGCAGCTTTGGCACACAGCTTTTGGACAGCAAAAGCAATGGATGGAAAATGAAGAAAGAATGCCACTCTGAAATAGAAAATGGGATTCACTTTGCATACTCTTACAATTTTTAATCAGCACAACAAAAATAAGATGAGAAACTAAGAACATAAAAACAAAGAGCAGAGTTTGGATACTCTGAACTCCCTATGTGTGCGCATACTAATAAAACTCGTAATAGAGGTGATACTTACATTGAGTCATCAGGAGACACAGGATCATAAATTAAGCATGTTAAAGATGATTTAAATCCATTGCAAAACAAGTATTACTTGCCAATTTCAATAAAGATAAAATTCTATAACATATTTAATTGATCACAGATAAAGGGCAAACAGGGTTTTCATAAACATTCAGTACTTTTTCTTCTTCTTTTTTTCCTGACCAAGTTATATGGAAGATAGGAAACTTAAGATCATCCAAAAAAAGTAATTGAAATACATCTTGGCATTGTATGTTAACTGATGAGTCTTTAGACTCATCCATGCCACACATGTAGCAATTGGTGCCATGCTTTTACTTAAAAAATGGAGATTTTTTTTTCTTTGGATTGGCACCGGAGTGTCCAGATGAAAGCCCGACTAATCTCCAGGGGTGCATAGGCCTTGGCAAGGTGTTTCTCGCAAATACACCACGGTTAAATCAAGGGTTTTAACTCAGTCCAATGACCCCAAAGAATTGTTAGCACCTATAAGAAGTTTCAATCCCTGAACCTTGGAGGGAGCACACCCCAAGACCCAAAGCCTTGCCACCAAGCCAACCCCTTAGGGTTCAAAAAAAATGGAGATTTCATAAAAATAAAATTAAAAAATAATAGTACTGTATTGTTATAGAAGAAAAGAAAACCAAATCACAAATAAATGAGTGACTTACTGCAAGTCCAGCTGTTTCCAGACTCAACAAATGACTCATCTTTCCCCACACTCTGCATGATAAGCTTTTAAACAATGCCTGAAAATCAGAACATTTGACAATCAGACATGATAAAATTAACTTCATGACAAGAGTAGAAAATATTTCATTATAATAAAAAGCCATTAATAAAGCTTACACCCATTAAATTGTTCAAATTTTGAAATCACTTCTTTCTTTTTTTGAAATAAAAATTTACTAATAAGATGAAATTGATAATTTAAGGAGAGAGAAAAAAAAAATCGAAATTAAAAACAAACAAACAAACAAAAAAAACTAGGGTTTCGGTAGCAACACACTTACCGACGACCCAGTGCTGAACTAGGCTATCCAGATTCCAGAATCCAGCGCAACCCACGAGATCTCTGGTTAGGGTTTAGATATTAAGGGAGAGAGGGTTTGGGATCGAAAATGTACAGAATCCTAGGGTTTCGATCTTGGGAATGGCGGGCATATCATGAATTTGACTAGTAAATTGGACTAATGGGTTTATCAAGAAATGTGATCCATTTTCGTATGCTGACTGGCTTTCAAGTAGATTACAGAGGAGTAGTTTTCAATTCTGAGAATTTGAATCGAGTTCATCAGCAATATGGAGCTCAATCGAAGAGATTTCTAATCAACAGTTTCGCCATGATTTTTAATGAAATCAATTCTGCATTTTCTGCAGTGTAGCTTCAGCATACATATCAAGTGAGCAAAGCGTTTGTGCTATATCCCAATATATTCATGTTTTTTTCAATAAATTTTTTTTTTTTTAGAAAAACTATACACTTTATAGTTAAAAAAGAGATTTTTATTGATAAGTCCAATTTAAAGTGTTTTAACCCAAGAAGTCCATGAAGGAATTTTTTAACCCATTTAGTCCCATGTATGTATAGTTTTATTCCATAAAGTCCATTTTCTTGATTTATACTATTTTCTTGGACATTTATGCCCATATATTTAATTTTGATACCCTTATAAATATTTTTTCAACGATTAGCAATTTAATGATGTAAATATTCATATTTTAAAATTCACATTTATAGGAATGTAAATTGGCCCGTGGGCGGCCCGAAATTCGCCCGCGAGCCAGGGCGGGCCCGACCCGTTGACAATGTGAATATTCACATTGACATATTAAAATTCACATTAATAGGAGTGTAAAATTGGCCCCCGTTCCGTGGCGGCGCGAAACTCACCCGCGGCCCATGGGCGGCCCGGGGTGGGCCCGGTCCGGCCCGTTGACAATGTGAATATTCACATTGACATGTTAACATTCACATTAATAGGAGTGTAAAATTTGCCCCCGTCCCGTGGCGGCACGAAACTCGCTAGCGGCCCGGGGCGGGCCCGGTCCGGCCTGTTAACAATGTGAATATTCACATTGACATATTAACATAAATTGGGCCGCGGCCCATGGGAGGCCAAAAGCCAGCCCACAGCCCAGGGCGGGCCCGGCCCGGCCCGGCCCGTTGACAATGTGAATATTCACATTGACATGTTAACATTCACATTGATAAGAGTGTAAAATTGGCCCGCAGCTCGTGGGCAGCCCAAAGCCCAACCGCAGCCCGAGGCGGGCCCGACCCGTGACAATGTGAATATTCACATTGACATGTTAACATGCACATTGATAGGAGTGTAAAATTAGCCCGTGCCCCGTGGCTGTCCGAAACCCGTCCACGGCCCTTGGGCGGCCCGGGGTGGGCCCGGACCGGCCTATTGACAATGTGAATATTCACATTGACATATTAACATTCACATTGATAGGAGTGTAAAATTGGCCCGCAGCCCGTGGGCGGCCTGAAGCCCGATCACAGCCCGAGGCGGGCTTGGCCTGACCCGTGACAATGTGAATATTCACATTGACATGTTAACATTAACATTGATAGGAGTGTAAAACTTTTCCGCTGCCCGAAGCTCGCCCGCGGCCCGGGGTAGGCCCGGACCGGCCACCCGGGCCGCCCACGGGCCTTCGGGCCATCCCATGGGAGCGAGTCAATTTTTCACTACTTAGTCAATGTGATGTTAGGTGTAAGCATGGTCAATGGTGAATATTCACGGAATTGTCAACATGGCCAGTGCCGGGGCCCCTCGGTCGAGGCTTGCCCATGGTGTACGGGCGGCCGTGGGCGTGTTTCGGGCAGGCCACGGGGCACGGGCTAATGTTACACTTCTTACCAATGTAAAGTGTTAACATGATCAAACTGAGAGTATATTCACGTTGTCAACGGGCTGGGCCCGCGTCTATGCCCGGGGCCCGTGGCTGTCGAGGGTGGCCACACGGGTCATCGACGTAATTTTACAACTTCTTGTAGTCAAGTGTTAATGTTAAATATGTCATGTGATATATTCACATTGTCAACAGCGCGTGGTCGGGCCCGCCTGGGCAGCGGGCGGGCTTCGCGGCCGCCCACGGGCCATGGGCCAATTTTACACTCCTATCAATATGAATGTTAATTGTTCAATAGTGAATATTCACATTGTCAACGGGGCGGACCGGGCTCGCCCCGGGCCGCCTGATGGGACGCGAGTCAATTTTACACTCTTAAATGTGAATGTTAATTATGTCAATGTGAATATCTCAACATTGTCAACAGGCCGGGTCGGGCCCGCCCCGGGCCGCCCACGGGCCATTGGCTAGTTTCGGGCAGGCCACGGGGCGGCGGGCTAATTTTATACTCTTATCAATGTGAATGTTAGCTTATCAATGTGAATATTTTGCATTATCAACGGGTCGGGCGGGCCCTGCCTAGGGCAGCCCACAGCCGCAGGCGGGTTTCGAGCCGGCCACAGGCCGCGGGCTAATTTTACACTCCTATTCAATGTTGAATGTTAACATGTCAATGTGAATATTTCACATTGTCAAACGGGCCGGGCCTGCCCCGACTCGGGCCCGGGCCCCGGCTTCGGGCTGCCACGGTCATGGCCAATTTTACACTCTTGTCAATGTTAATGTTAATGTTAATATGTCAATATGAATATTCATATTGTGACGGGCCGGCGCGGCCCGCGCCCGGGCGACGGCCTGGTTTGCGGCGCAGGCAATTTTACCTCCTATCAATGTGAATGTTAATTTGTCAATGTAAATATTCATATTATCAATGGCCGGGTCGGGCCTATTTTTTTGCGCTTTGTGTGGGCCGCGCCCGGCTCCTGACTCCGACTTTTTTCTTTTCGGGCACCCACGAGGATCGACATGGGCCGGGCCCCTACACATTGACGATATAAACATTTATATTGACGGTGTGAACATTCACATTAAGGGTATTTTGGTAATTATGTCACCCATAGGACTTATTGAAACATAAGAAAATAATGTGAACTAAATGGAATATAAGTAGATGAAAAGGGCATTTTGGTCTTCTTATCTCAAATTGGACCTAATGGAATAGTCAAAAAGAATATGGGTTGGATGGAATAAAACTCTTAGAAAATGGATTTATCAAAAAAGTTCCCTAAAAAAAATGATATAATTTTATATATTTTTAATTATAATTAAAAAATATCATAATTAAACACAAGATGAAATATAATTAATAAATTTAAGAATCATAACTAAAATAATATTATAATTAAAAAAATTAATCATAATTAAAAAAATAACCTAATTAAAGTACATACGATACATCTTTCTAAAAAATTAACATAATTAAAGTACATGCGATACATCCTTATAAAAATATGAACCCTTGCGTGTCTGTGTTGATTTTTGATACATGCCCACTTTCATGAAAGACAACCCAATGGTGGGAGTGAACGACGATATCATCACCATCAAGGTCGATAATGGAAGTGATACTATCACTTTCATGTTTGAAAGCCCTAATAAGCTTCTTTTAGTTTTTGCTTATGATTTTGAAGTTTAATTTGGATCGTTTTGTTTGGAATTTAGGTTTTTAATTGTCAATTTCACTTTGAACTATGGTTTTACTGTCATATGTACACATACATATATGCATACATTTGTTATCTCCTTGTGATTCATGGAAAGTTCCAATTATTATGTGTGTTCGTGTATGTTTGTTTGGAGAAAATGTTTTGTTTGCTAGAAGGTGAGAAAACGTAAGAAAATTGAGGCAAATTAAGCACTGAAATGGAAGAATCACATCCTAATTGTCCAGTATACAGTGCAGAGAAAATGTCTTCCAGTCCAAAAAAAATTAGTCAAAATGAAAATGGTGATTATTCAATTTTCTTTGATTAGTTGTTGTCTAAATGTCATACAGTTCAAAGAAAATTGGTCAAAATGAAAATGATGGTTGTTCAATTTTCTCTGGTTTGATAAAAAAATACAGAGAAAATCATGAGCAAATCAGATAAAATTGGTCAAAAACAGAGAAATTCTCTGAATCGCATTTTCTCTAGATCGATGTTGAGGGACCTTAAACATTATGAAAATATTTGGTGTCTTTTATGCTATAAAATCTAATACTACGGACTCTAAAAAAAATCCCTTAAAATAAACATAAAAAATGACACATTTTTTATTTTGTGTTCTTTATTCGGATTTTTTATTTTTATTTTATATATTTCTAAGACATAATGTTATCTAATGGATGTAGATTTTCAATTGATATTAATTGTGCAATATAATTGTGAAATAATTTGATAGTCAAAAAAAAAAAATTTAATTCCAATGATCGGTCATCCAAAAATTACCAAAATTGTTTATTTTTTAAATAAAGATTTAATTACAAAAACAATACACAAGTTACCTAAAATAACTAGGATTCTAAATAGATGTTTAATTTCATAGCCAATCAGAGAATGACATTTTTTGGGTTGTAGAAATTCCTACACCATAGGTTGAAGGAAAACCTTCTCCAAAAAAAAATTAGATAACACTTCTCACAAAAATACATAACATGTACCAAAAAAATGTGTAACAGAAGTTCAACTGGCATTACGGGTGCAATTCGGACGGGTTTGGTGGGTTAGGAAGGTTGTTCAAGCCCAACTCAAGTAGTGTTGAAACCTGCCCAAGCCTGAATTGTGACTTGAGATTTTCTGCACAAGCTCGACCCGAGTTAAATCCGAATTGCCTGAGTTACCTGAATTGTAAATCAATTTCATATTTTTTTTGTAGCTACATTATTAAATTATTAAAATTTGACTCTATTTACATATTTTTTATATAGAAAATCATTAATACCATCAAAATAAATAATTTATATAATGTAAGAGAGATATCGCTATGGTAATCTTTATAATTTATGAGTGAAAATAAAAAAAAGTAAAATTTTATGTTATTTGTATATATAATATATATTTAATATGATTTAATAATCTAAATTACTTTGATATCATGTAATGACTAATAATTTATATATATATTTAATATTTTAAATATCTATATATTTATAATTCGAGTTTCGGGTTGCTCAGGTTGTTTGACGTTTTTACCCAAGTCCGTCCAAATTTAATTCGGATTTCTGAATTTTTGTCAAAACTCATACTAAATTTAAAAATATCTTGTACATATCCTAAAAAAAATTGAGCTCAACTCGAATTGCTCGAGTTGAACCCGCGCAAATTGCACCCCTAACTGACACACACCATCCTATAAAGAGTGTCTACCAAAGGCAACCCTATAAATGTATATAAAAATAAGAGTAAAATGAATAAATTTTTTACAAAAAGTACAGTCCCCTCACAACTCTCTATATTTCAGCCATTCGTTGGCTGGCCACATATTGTAACTGTGGAAAAGGACAAAGATAATATCAGAAGCAATTATAAAATAAAATAGATTAGCTTTTCTATTAAGCAACATAATGCTTCTGTTTAATCCTGATTTTTGACATCAACAAAACATCAACTTCTGATAGCTTTGGTTTCCCACAATTATTCTCAAGTTCTAGCTATTAATGCTTCCAAACAAAAAAAAAAAAAAAAGAAAAAAAAAAGAAAAAAAAAAGTAGAAACAGACATTTACAAAACAAGTTTATGAACAGTAAAGTCTACTTATTTGCTTCTGTATGTTTGATAAACTTCTGGTAGACAAACATCAAACAACAAACTTCGAGTCCTAATTTTCTGGGAAAAACCTGAGCAGAGCATTGCTCAATGAGATTGCATTGTCTTCACTTTGACCAACTTTCCACACCTTGAACTTCAAAGCGAAAGGACTAATCTCGCCCCAGTGTTTCAACATTGACAGCGAGTGGGGCCCATGTCTTTCTCCACTTTGTCCCATACAATGCCACACAGATGCATCCTCATCTTTGAGTTTTTGCTTTCCAAGTGCGACCCTTGAACCATCATTGTCGTCGTCATCATCATCGCTACTCAACTCAATCAACGGAACCGCTGAGGCCTCTTGGTTTCTCAGCATTTTTGGTTCCGAACTTTTTGGTTCTTCAATGACTGATGCCACGGAATGTTCCTTCTTTGCAACTAAGCATAAAACACAGAGAACAAATAATAAGCTGTTTTATACACTTTTATCAACTTGATCAAAATAATATAAATAAGAATGAATAGTAAACATAAGAGATGAGGAGTTGTAATAAAATTGATAGGTTTGTAGGCACAAAAGAAATTGAAGAAGCATTCATGCTCTTTTCACAATCTCCTTACAAAAAAGCATGCATCATTGCCATCAAAAAATGATTACATTATTTCTTCTAAATGAATACAAAATATTGGAATGCATTCAAACAATTAGATGAAAAAATAGAACTATTCCATTTCAATGGTATGTTACAACTTGGGAATGAATCCAATGAGTTTATGATAGACGATTACAGGCAATTCAACATTTCCATGAGAAGATGAAGAGATATTACATAACTTTGAAAGCTATTAAGTCCAGGGCCGGCCCTGAGATTTAGGGGGGCTCAAGGCGAACTTCGGAAGGGTATCCCTCTTACATTGAAAAAAAAAAAAAAGTTCATGGATAAAACAATAAGTTACAACAACTTTTTTATTTATTTGTAACCACAAAAAAATTTACTTGCACTTATAATCATTAAAATTATAAAAAAAAAATTTACTTTCACATATTAAGTTAGGAAGCAATCATTACAAATATTCGAAAAAAATAAAAATTTGGTCTTATTGCTTTATAGTTTAGCAATATCTAGTTTACAATTCAACCAACTATCAGTGCTCAGTGCTCTCTGCGTCTACCCTGCTTTATGCTTACTTGGTATATGCTTCCTTCTTCATCACTTCGTGAGAGAGAGAGAGAGCACTGAGCAATGTATTGTATTGTATGTATTGTTCTTCTTACGCCCCAAACACTTTTTTTGTATATATTTTCATTTTAATAAATATGGGCCAAACCACACTTATAAATAAATGTGGGCTAAACTATACTTATAAATAAATAGGGGCCCAATAAAATATTTTTGGGGCCCTTTAAATTGGTCCTAAACAAACAAACAAAAAAAATAATAATAATAATAATTGGGCTTATAACACTTAACTAACTTTTGGGGCCCTATTTTAGGCCGAAATTTTGGGCCTAAGGCATAGGCCTCACTGGCCTTAGGCCAGGGCTGGCCCTGATTAAGTCTCATCTAGGGTTACATATGAATAAAGGGCAAATTACAAACACCCCCCTCGAGATTTGGTGAAAATACAGATTCCCCTGAGGTTTGAGAAATTACATCCCGCCCCCTGAGGTTTATATTTCCATAATAAATTGCCCCCTGAGGTTTTTATTTTTATACAGATTCCCCCCTAATTTCCCCTAATTTGTTATGAAAATTTGACCATTAGGGGGCAATTTGTAATTTCTCAAACCTCAGGGGGAATCTGTATTTTCACCAAACCACGAGGGGGGTGTTTGTAATTTGCCCATGAATTTAAAAGTGGATCCAAATAGAACTTTCAATTTCATTGCAGGGTTTTAAATTTTGGGTTTATCATCCTTGTACAGATTGAAATCATAAGAAACAATGTTGAAGAAATCAAACTTTTGCAAAAGAAAATTTCTAAGTAAATTTTCTGAAAATTGGAACAAATGACTTGAAGCCAAAACTAAATCCGAAAAGAGTGTGATTTAGATAACTGTTTCTTCTTGTATGCATCTTAATCTCCTACTGTATTATTCAACACAATGGTTTTAGAACATCCAAAATTATGAATGGAAATACATGTGCATAGTAGTAGAAATTTAATCAACTATACCTGAAGAAAATCCATTGCCTCCCCAGCTATCTCCAGGAGTTTCCGAACTCCCTTGGAGGATTGATTTTGGCAAGCTTTCATCTCCCTCTTTATATTCTTTAATGGCATCATTTGCCATAGGTTCGAGTTCTGATAGATCTGAAATCACCTTGGGAACCTCTTGTAGCAACCGCAACTGTTCTGATGGCTTCTGAAGCAGCTTTCTTTTCTCCATGTATTCAGATAGTGTAGAAAACCATGTAGGTTAAGGGGCACATTAACATTTTACTGCAAATATTGGCACCTAATATATGCTAAATTTGTGCATGTATGAGCATTTATTTACATTCTCACGTGGATGCCCCACTTTTTTTTATTTATGATTTAGCTTTCCGATTAAATTCGGGGAGTAGATATTAATACATATCTCTTAGCATCTGAAATCATAAATCAATACAAGGTATCAATTCAAATTGGACGTATAAGTCTTCAAACTATGAAGCACAGACACCTTTCTAAAGGTCACGTACCGGTGTTGGACACGGACACGTGCCGGACAAACTATGGACACATGTCAGACATGCTTGGGACACATTGGGACACCCCCTGTCCCATTTTGCACATGTGTTGAACATGCTCAGGACAAGTTGGGACATCCTGTGTCCCATTCTTAAAATATATATATATATATATATATATATTTTACCGAAATAGCATACCAAAGGATATGAATTTGATGCGAATAATTATATGATATATAATAAGTATATAGTATTAAAAAATCTGACATCTAATAAATATATAAAATTATATGTTTTGCACATGTTCCCAGCTTGTATTGTCTTACATTTTTTGAAATTTGGCATGTCTGTGTCATGTCATGTGTCTGTGTCCGTGCTTGTGATTCTTAGTCTACAAATCAAAAAGTTTCAACTTCTTTTGCTTCTGCATACTAAAATCATTGATCAAATGATATCTTAGGTTGTGGGCATTAGCAAAAGAATAGTTTGAGATTGTTCATCAGTACTTGTAATCCAGTGACGTGTGTGGCTGTTCCTATACGCGCTATCATAGCCTCAGTAAATGCCACTATCCTGAATCTGCATTTGACAAAACACTTGCAAAAAGGATATTCCCTTCTCCATCCTTTCTCATTTGCTTGATCAATGAGGTTTTGTAATAAATTCAGCTCTCTAACAATCCACTGACAAGTTTCAATATAAAGAAAAGATAAGCAGAAAAATAAAAAGCAAGCAACGGATGACAAATAAGAAGAAAGATTACAATGAACAAGGTGATATTAAGATGTTCTTAAATGAAATGCTCGATAGTTTAGTCAAGTATTTTACCTGCATAACAAAATAACATAAATGAAACTGCTTACAGTGATCTTATTGAGATCAATCTGTTAGCAATTGACACACCTAACCGGGAACGGTGAAACGCGAAACTCAACCAGGGATAAGAACAAGAAACAAAAATTAAATACAGAAGAACACAAAAATTTAAAAAGTTCACCCCAAACTAGGGCTGCATCCACAACTGCTGCGGTTTTTTCACTATGATCCGAAAGTTACAAGATACAAAGATGGTCGTCTCCCCCTCAACTATAAATATATAGAAATTAGGGCAACAAGTCACAGATGTGGAAACACCAAAGGGCAACAAGTCACAGATGTGGAAACACCACCCCAACATTTGAAGTTTAGAGAAGAGAAAAAGTTGGGGAATGAGTTAGACTTCATTCCCTTTTGTATTGATAATTGAGCAATTACAGGCATAATTCTGAGCAACTAGAAAAGAAATAAATAAGAATACAATCCATTATTTCCTATTCTAATATTTGTTATTCTAACAATTTCCTATTCTAACACTCCTCCTCAAGTTGGTGCGAAGATATCTCTCATGCCCAGCTTGTTGAGAATGCCATGAAAAGATTTGCTCCCTAGTCCCTTGGTGAGAACATCTTGGTCCCTAGTCTTCACAAATGGAATACATATGGTGCCACCAGTAAGTTTTTCCTTGATGAAGTGCCTATCAATCTCCACATGCTTAGTTCTATCATGTTGAACTGGATTATGAGCTATGTTGATTGCAGCCTTGTTGTCACAGTATAGTCATATGGAGTAAGTCTAATGAATTCCCTAGTCTCCCAACAATAGTTTAATCCATAGTAACCCACATACCTCCTGAGCCATACCCCTGAATTCTGCCTCAGTACTAGATCGAGCAACCACATTATGTTTCTTATTTCGCCATGTGACTAGGTTGCCACCAACAAATGTGCAGTATCCAGAAGTTGATCGTCTGTTAGTGATTGATCCTGCCCAATCTGCATCAGTAAATACTTCCATACTGAGATGACCATGTTTTGAGAAGTACAGACCCTTTCCAGGAGAAGGCTTCAGGTATCTCAAGATTCTCATAATTGCCTCTAAGTGGGAAGTTCTAGGAGCATGCATAAACTGGCTCACCATGCTCACGACAATGGCAATGTCTAGACGTGAGTTGAATAAGTATATGAGCTTGCCCACTAGTCTTTGGTATCTCTCCCTGTCCACTGGATCTCCCTCCTGATCCTCACTCAGTTTCTGACCCGGTTCTAGAAGTGTATCACATGGTCTACCGCCAAGCATTCCAGTTTCCTTTAGCAAGTCAAGTACATACTTCCTCTAATAGATAAAGATGCCATCCTTGGACCAAGCTACTTCAATGCCCAAAAAATACTTCAAATAGCCTAAGTCTTTGATTTCAAACTCTTTGGCTAAGTATTCTTTCAAACGGGGAATCTCCTCAACATCATCTCCTGTCAGAACAATAGGCATCAACATAGACAATAAGAGCTGTGGTCTTACCATGTGAGGAGTGTTTCACAAATAAGGTGTGATTAGTTTGACTTTGCTTGAACCCATATTTCAACATAGCTTGAGCAAACCTTTCAAACCAAGTCCTAGGAGACTGTTTTAGCCCATAAAGTGGCTTTCGGAGCCTGCATGCTTTACCGTTGGACTTAGCATCCGCAAAACCAGGAGGAATATCTATATAGACCTCTTCTGCTAGGTCTCCATGAAAGAAGGCATTCTTCACATCAAATTGATGAAGCGGCCAATCCAAATTTGCAGTAAGAGAGAGTGGGATTCTTACATAATTCATCTTAGCAACCGGTGCAAATGTCTCATGGTAATCCACTCCATAAGTCTGAGTAAAGCCCTTAGCAACCAGTCTTACTTTGTACCGTTCTATGGAACCATCTGCTTTGTATTTTACCGTGTATACCCACTTACACCTAACTGGATTTTTTCCTCTAAGTAACTCCACTAACTCCTAAGTGCCACTGTTGCTGAGGGCTCTCATTTCTTCCATCATGGCATGTTTCCATTCAGGAATAGAGAGAGCATCCTAAAAATTGGTAGGTAGATTCACAGAAGACACTTTAGATAGAAAAGCTTTATATGAGGAAGATAGATGAGAATAAGAGACATGATTACTAATAGGATGCTAAGTACATGACCTAACCTCCTTCCTATTAGCAATGGGAACATCAAGATCTGAAAAAACAGGAATAGAAGCACTAGAATCAGAATTACTTGGACTCTCAGAAAATGAGGGTGACTCTGGACACTCATTCGGAGAAGAAGTTGGCAGTAGAGGAAGAAAAGTAGTCTCTTGCATTTAGGTGACTTGCTGTCAGTCCTTGTCCTTGCTATAAACTTTGCTTGCTTCTTGTTCCTCAACAACTGCTGGCTCATCATTCTCGATCTGTTCAACCCTTGGCGGAAGTGGAACAAGAATCTCTTCACACCCTAAAGGGATGACTGTGAGACCGGGGAGGGGGGGGTTTCGAAAATAAGGCTGAGACTCAAAGAAAGTGACATTTATGGAGACAAACCATTTGCGAGTGGGAGGATGATAACACTTATAACTCTTTTTGGTGGCAGAATAACCCAGAAAAACACATTTAAGGGACCTAGGATCCAATTTACCAGGAGTGGGTGAATGATTATGAACGAAGCAAACATAGCCAAAAGTCTTCGGAGGAATGCAGAACCCGGAAGGGGTAGACCCGAACAAAACTTGAAGAGGTGTTTGTTTTTGAAGGACTTGGGTAGGAAGACGATTAATCAAATAAGCGGCAGTGAGAACCGCTTCCCCCCAATATGATTGAAGAACCTGCCTCTCAAAGGATAGACAACGGGCGATATCAAGGAGATGGCGATTTTTGCGTTCTACAACACTATTTTGTTGAAGGGTATTAGTGCATGAAGTCTGGTGAATAATGCCATAAGTGGCGAAGTAAGCAGCAAGACTAGAGTCAATATATTCCCCACCATTGTCAGAACGTAGAAGTTTGACAACCGCTACAAACTGAGTACAAACCATTTTATGAAAGTTTTGAAACATAGAAAAGACCTCACTTTTATCTTTCATCAAATAGACCCAAATGGCCCTGGAACAATCATCTATGAAGGTAACAAACCATTTATGACCGGTTAAAGACACAAAACGGGATGGACCCCATACATCAGAATGAATCAAAGAAAATGGAACTAAATTTTTATTAATAGAAGGAGCAAAAGAGGCTCTGTATTGTTTTTCAAGTTGACAAGACTCATATTGAAAATCTGACACATTATTTTTCTCAAAAACAGAAGGAAATAAATGCTGAAGTAATGAAAAAGAGGGATGTCCTAAGCGACGGTGCCACCGCCAAATGTCGTCCTTGGTGGATGGTAACTGAATAAATGAATGAGCCAGCTGGTCTGTCTGATCCAGAATGTAGAGCCCATGTTCCTCTCTACCACTGTCAATCCTCTTCCTCGTAATAAGGTCCTAAAAAAGACAATGATCAGGAAAAAAACATCACGCTACAATTTAAGTCACAGATAATACGACTCAAAGATAAAAGATTAACACTAAAATTGGGAACATAGAGGACAGAAGACAAAGGAAGAGAAGAGGTGGCATGAATTAAACCTTTCCCTGACACAGATGAAATGGTACCATCAGCAATATGTACTTTGTCCTGACCTGAGGAGGGGTTATACTCAAAATAAATTAAAGGAGCCAGACATATGGTCGGAAGCACCAGAATCAATAATTCATGGGATAGGAGTATGAGATAGCAATGCACATGGGGAGGAAGCCAAGTTTCCTGCATTGGCAAAGGAAGAAGAAGGTGCACCTGTAGTAGAAATGGAGGCTTGACGGTCTAGCAAGTAGCGAAGAGCAATCTCAAAATCTTAGGCAGATAACCCCGAGACATCAGCAGAGGAGACAACTGGAGATAAAGATGGTGGCTCAACAGTGTCTGAAAGATGGGCTCATGCATTGGCCCCGCGGCCTCTAGTACCAGACCGACCCCCTCGAGTACCAGGATGGTCGCCTCGGCCACCAGAGGGAGTGCCATGCAGCTTCCAACAAGTCTCGCGTGTGTGGTGAGGTCGACGATAGTAGTCACAATAAAGATTATCCTTCTCAGAGGAAGGACGAGAACCACTAATCACACGGTCGCCATCATGAGAGGGTGCAAAAATCAAGGCCGAGCGATCAGTAGTGTAGCAGAAGGAAGCATCGCAAAACAGCGACTCTCCTCATTCTGCACAAAAGCAAATGCTTCCTGGAGAGAAGGAAGCACATCCATGTCAAGTACTCTACTCCGAACAGGATCATACTCTACATTCAAGCCTTCTAGGAACTTTAAGACCCGCTCTTGCTCCACAAATTTCCAATAACCAACAGAATCAGTGGGATATACAGGCTTGTAATCATGAAGGTGATCAAGGCGCTTCCATCCATTGCTAAGGAAGGTAAAATACTAGAGGATAGTCATCTCACCTTGCACTGACCTCTCAATGGAGCGATGTAACTCGAAAGCTTGTGAGAAGTTCCCATTCCTGGAATAAGTAGTAGCTACGGCCTCCTAAATATCCTAGGTAGTGTCCCTAGACAAGTAACCCTCTTCAATCTCCGAAACCATAGAATGGATCAACCAGTCCATAATCAGAGAATTGGTGATCTCCCACTAGTCATAATGAGGGTTGGTGATACTGGGTGCCTGCACCCTCCCATCCACATATCCCACCTTTCCTCTGCTCTTCAGAAAAATAGTCAGACTGTGTAACCATGTGAGGAAATTCTGACCATTAAATAGAGAGGTGGAGATTTTAAGGCCAGAGTTGAGGTTATCAATCATAGGAGAAGGGATAACCGAACTCGCAGATAGGAGTCACACATACCAAGGACGCTGTCGACAAGGGCCATGAAGGCCAAGGGGACTGCTGACAGACCCTTAGACACTCAGAGAAGCTGCCGATTAAGCCTAATAGGCTGTCGAGGAGCCCAGATGAGGAGCCGAAGACCTAGGAAGCCTGGGTAGACTGCCGACTAGGCTTTTGGATTGTAGATGGGCTTCCGGCAACGAAGATGAAGAGCAATGGAGTGATGAGCTAGGGTTTTGGCTCTGATACCATGTAAGTTTAGAGAAGAGAAAAAGTTAGGGGATGAGTTAGACTTCATTCCCTTTTATATTGATAATTGAGCAATTACAGGCACAATTCTGAGCAACCAGAAAAGGAATAAATAAGAATACAATCCATTATTTCATATTCTAATATTTCCTATTCTAACAACATTCGGGTTGGGGCACACCCCCGAACCATCTCCTTTGGATCAAGATCCACAGTACCAGGGGTGAACCAAAAAATTTGTTTTGACAGGTGCCAAAATTTGAAACAAATTTTTATTTATTGACATTATAACCTTTAAAAGTTTTCTTTTATGCATTTAATATACAAACAAACTTTGTTTATAATTTTTTATTTTGAATTGTTGTGGCATAAAGTGATTAAAACCTTGGAGTACGATATAGAATTCAATTTGTTGCACAGCAGTTTGTAAGAAAAGCTTGTTTGTATAGCAATATTCAAAACTAAAAAATGTTATGATGGTCACATTTTCTTACCATATTTTGTTTATCATCTTATGTATTAATGAGAAATACTAGAGACCCCCAATTTAAACTTCTAAATTCACTCACAATGATGTGGCAAGACAGCAGGGTCTGAATTAATCAAATGTGTGACAAATCAAAAGTTGACACCTATCACGTCACATCATTGTGGGTCAAATTAGGAGAGCTCTTTTAGGGTCTCAAACATTTTCCATGGAACTAATATAGTATTGACATAAAGAGAAATGCTAGAGACCCAGAATTTAGAACCTTACATGGTTGAGTTAGTGACAAATAAAAAATTGACATGTAACCTACCATACCATTGAGAGTAAATTAAGAAAGAGTGCTTACAAGTCTTAATCTATTTCCACACATAAAATGATAAACAAATTATATCTTATTAGATTAAAACCTTAGGATAATTTTAAAAAATGTGGTGCCAGAATGTAAATTTTGGTTAGGATTATATATATTATATACCATACATATATAAGAGGGTTATTGAAAAAGTGGGTGCCATGGCACCCTTCCCACGAACGTAGTTCCGCTAGTACACACTACCCCAACACAATCCATAAGTTATTGGTAAAATAAACAGGCACCCCTAAACGAGATAAAACAAAAGGACCTACTTGACATGCATAACAAAAAGGAATAATTACTATTTTATTACATAATGGCCTCCTAAGGGTATAATTTGAGTGCCACTAATTAGTCAGCAGAAGGAATGGTAGGACACATTGGCCAAGAGAAAGCACAGGACCACCAATTTATGATGACACATTGTAGTAAGTTTCAGAACCAAAGACAAAACACATAATTTGTAGTACATGCGACGTTATGGAAAATGTTGTGTTTCAATAGTTTATTTCATAACCAACAAAAGATAAGAGTTGTTAGACAACTCTCTCTCTCTCAATTCACTCTTACATGCATATACACTAACAAACAATGTCAGATAGTTGAATATATATTGTTGGGCCCATTTCCTAAATGCTTAAGCTTTCGTGAAAATTAGTGACTTAACATGGTATCAGAGCTCAGTTTGGGCTCCGTTTGCATTCTTTCTTCTCTCTGTGTGGTTGTTTGGATGTTTGCATCTCCAAGTGCAAGACAGGATTGCACGTGAGACAGGATATTGAATAACTTGATATACATTGTTGGGCCAATTTCCTAACAGTTTAAGCTTTTGGGATAATTGCTGACTTAACAAACAAACCCACATAGAAACACAAAGGATGTGCTAAAATGCTATTCTTTGGCAGTATATACGGTGAGTACCTCTTGAACTTCAACTCCAGAACTTCTAAGCAGCAGACTAACCCAGAAGTTTTCATGATCTGCTCAAATGACATATTTGGCCTTTTTTTCATCTTATTTTTTTTCATCTTGCCCACTCACATTCCTCACTCTCAAGATTGACGTAAGTTAAATTATAGACTGTACAACTCACAAATTGTTCTATGGAAAAGCTCAAAATAGATGTATTATGAACATTTGCAAATAACACTGGAGTAGATGTTCATACATGCTTTGTTATATCTTCATGCAGACTTCTGGCCTTCTGTTCAAGGTCCACCTGTCAGATAAAATGTTTTGATCAAACAGTTTGCATAAACTTTCAATCAGAATATATAACATTGATTCGCTACAGAGACTGACAAATATAAGCAGTAGCAGCAAAGTTTGTCCACATCGTCTGGGATTGAGACACAACAAGTTCAAATTGCTTTAACATTGAAACATAGTGATGCCATTAAGTTAAGATAAAATATAATAACCAACTTAAAATACTTGGTGGTTGAAGAAAAATGTCTTAAAATGTTAAATTTAGTGATAAATAAATTCAAACTCTAGTTTTCTTGAGTTCCACTTGATGCCTAAATTAAATATGTACTAGGGTTTTATAACACAATTTGTTTGATTTCCTCATAAATGAGATTATCAATACACAAACATGATTGCTTCTTCTTAAGGGCAGTTGTCTGCTAAAGGAAACAAATATATTGAGAATAATTTACAGTCAAATAAGGGAAAAACTGAAGCCAACCACAGTCAAATAAGCAAATTAAGCCAACCACACAATGAAGGGTAAAACTGAAAAGATAACCCAATGAAGTACAATGACATAACAAATGACTACACAAGAAGTGGCATGAGCACAACAAATCAGTCTTCATTTGCTACAGGCAAAACTGTTCACCTAAGAAGCATGGACCCTTCTAAGAAGGTAACATGTCGTGTCCGACACCAACACGACGTTCATTGGACACTTCCTAACACTTAGATACACATGAAACATATTACTAGTTTGAATAAATTAACTTGTAATTCAATGATATAACAAAAAACAATGTAAATTTACACCTATTTTCCTCTAGACTCCAAAAATTATTACCTTAGACTCATATATATGGCATATAATTATTTATCCTTATATATGACATATAATAAATACAAAAAATTATATATTTTGCGTATATTCCTTATGTGTCGTGTCCTACATTTTTTAAAAATTTGTGTGTCGTCATGTCCGTGCCGTGTCCCGTGTTTCTTAGCTGTTCACTGACGGCAGAGGAACTCCAGATTAAGAAAATATGAACTGTACAGGAATTGTTTACTAGCAAGTTGCATAAAAATAAGTTCAGATTTAGCACTAGACAAAGATAATATTCAACGAGTCTTGCAACAATTTGTTGCATATTTCCTATATCAAATGGGTGTAATTTCCAAGAATTAACGTTATGGACTAATTAAAAAATAGGTGATGGTTCAATTCTGCAGATACAGCCTAAAGCTGGTGAAACCCACAAACTAAAATTCCAAGAAGGATGAGCAGTTTCAGCAAAAATAAAGAACTGCAGCAGGCACTCATTTAACAAACTAATTTACTACAACAGTTTGCCAAAGATGGAAGCCCCATTCTTCATGGATTCCTTATTTTCCAGTTCAGTCAAAGTTGAAAGAAATTACAAGGATCCAAGGAGGATGCGAGACATTCAGGGACAGAGCAATCATATTATAAAGAGTCAACATTCTGATGCTTCATTCGACTGGATCTTCAGAAAATTCAAATGCAAACTACATTCTTTTTCAGATGGTTTAAAAATTAAAAGAAAAAAAAAAGATGATTTTTTTGGGGAGCCGCCATTCCCACTCCACTTTGCTCCAAATACACCCCCTTCTTTGTCCTTATTATACATAGTTACATTAACACCCCTTCACAGAAAATGCAGTCCCTCAAAAAACCAAAATTCCAAGGGGGGTATTAATGTAATTATGTATAATACGGACAAAGAAGGGAGTGTATTTAGAGCATAGTGGAGTGGGAATAGCGGCTCCCTCTTTTTTTTGCACCTCTCCATTAATTCCTCTTCTAACCAAATTCACTTATAATATACATTATTCATGACACTGAGCCGTTGTAGATATAATTAAAAAGTTTTACTTTTCCAATGAATAAAAGAATTAAAAAGAAAAGTATGAGGGAACTTACTATGGTAGGCTTTTTAAGTAGCCCGCCTTTCACTTTTTCTCTTAAATCTTCACATTCTTCCTACAAACCCAAAAAAACCAAGCTACGAATGTCATGCTTGAAATAATAAACTATTGGCGGTATGTTGAACTATTCAAACAATTTAACTTCCAAATAATGCTTTACCATTTAAACTAAAGTAGAACTATGGGATAAGTCGTACTGAAAATAATAAGAATTTATGGACAAGTAGAAACAATATAGTAAGGAGTGGAAATTTCAAGGACAAACTGTGGCTGTAGGAAAAATTTATAGAAATAGATGCATATGTCAACATTAAAAACTTATTTGGGAATAATGCCTGGTACCCTCAAAATCCACCGATATCAGATTATACTAATTAAATGACAATAAAATTATCCGCACTAAATAAGAGAATCTTGGCACTACACCTCATAAATGGAGTCCACTTTTGATTTATTGCAAGTTAAATTTGTGAGGTCAGTTTTGATCACAAATAAAACTGACAGTTATGGTCTACTCTATGCAGAACAATGCGGAATGTCCAAATGGTTATAATGAGTGTACATGCATATTGGAAGGTTATTGTCATACATGCATACTGAGTTTAATTAAAATAAACCACAATACATATGTGGAACCCGAAAAGAACTTTTACTAAGACTACGGAAATTGGAAGGTTATTTCCATGCTTCAGTTTGATAGAAGTTTTGGCATTTTCATTCCATTAGTTGTAGAGAAAAGGGGTGCCTAAACCTAAAACATGTCATTGCAATCCATACCATACAAAAATACTAAGTTCAAAATGTCACAAGCTATAGATAATAGAATTAACGTTTTTCACATGAGAGTGTCCTCCATGATTATTAGTTCTAGGAAAGTACCATGATTGTACATATTCATGTTTGTTGTACTGACACTGAAATCAGAATCGTATTACAAGAGTATGCACCATTTGAATTCAATAACAAAACTTTAATTAGGGTAATGGATTAATAGAAAAGAATGAAGAGATGAAACATTCTTCTTGAATGTGATCCATCACTGAAATACTATGTCACTGTGACGAAGAAGAAAAGAACAGTGGAGGAGAAGGAAGGGAAGAAGAGTATAAAACAAAAGGGAAGAAGAATTGTATTTTCATTTTCTTTTTGTATGAGGATGCTTCATCCTCGCCCCCTTTTTGATCTATTAATAAAATCTTTTGTGTTGATCCAAAAAAAAAAAAAAAAAAAAAAAAAAAAAAAAGGGAAGAAGAAAGGATGAAAAAAAAATGCCAACAAAAATACTTCCACACAATATTATTACCTCAGAGAAGTTATTATCTGAAAGCACACTAATGCAAATGTCTTTTGACATATTTGAAACTTGGAGGAGAATCTGCATGTTGTTATCGCCCTTGGATATCTTCTTCATGCCTGAGTGCATGTAAATGGTAACAATAAGATAAAGATCAAAACTTTAACAATAAAGAAAATGTGTGTAGAAAATAAACCAATTATGGAAAGTTCAACTTCGACATGTTCTAGTGCAATTGACCAGATCATTCTGAAAGATTCCACACTCTACACCAATCAGATTCTGGACACAGCATATTTTTTAAGCTCTCTACTTCATTTCCCTTAGCTCGTTCTTTCAAAATACAAAAATTAACATGAAGGGAGTAGCTGGATACATCAATATTGGGTCATAGAAACTACTATTATAGTTCCTGATATCAATTTCATTCCTTTATATTCAGTTTCCTGCAAAATCAATACTTATTCAGATTTCACTTAACTTCTTTTCAATTGCCACTCAAAGACTCCATCAAATAACTTCTACATATAGGTTCATGGAAGTCATTCCTCAAAGTTGTTTTTATATAGAAACTAAGTAAAATGGTATACAGTCCTCTTCCAGGATCTAAAGTACTGAAACAAAAAGCATAAATTGAGTTACTTGTGGTTCTTTCTGTTCAAGTTGCAGGGACAAGCTCTTTACTTTTTTAAAACACATTTCTTGGGTTTTTGATGAATCGACAAGTCTATTCATCAGACAGTTCTATTATTGATAGCACAACTAATTAGAGCACTGAATGGCTGGCAATTATGTTTGGCTATTGTGATAAATTTATGCAAGTCAAATATGAACTAATACATTGTAACAACAAAATAGCACAACTAGTTAGAACTTGAGCACTGAATACTAAACAGTCACATCTGATATGAAGGACATGACCATATTGTTAAGAGGGAAATAACACTATCCATTTTTTCAAAAACTATTACTCTATGGTCATGCAGATTATTCCGTGAAGTCAATGGCACTGCAGAATATAGCCCCCGAACTACTAGAAAGAAACAGTCCGTTAACTCATCAAATTATCAGATATCTACCAATACAAACCTGTAACTTGCACAAGCTGATGAGAATTTCTCTGAAAATAGTCATTAGGGTCTGATTTGACTCTCACAAAGCTTCCTATTACTTTGCTTTCAAAGGTTTCAGGTTGCTTCAGTAGCTCCTGCACTAGACTCCTCTTCAGGTAGACAAGCTCAATGTTCTCAGCAACAATGGAAGCAAAACAGCTCTGTGGAGCATTGATCACCATCTCGTTTTCAGGGGATTTCCTATTTGTATTTAACTTTCTCTGTTTTTTACGGGCCACCATGACATTCTCATCCTCATCTTCTGAACTGTGTCCCAGTTCGTCCTCATCTGATGGCTCAAGGTTCTCAAAAAAATGGGGTTCCAGGAGGTCATATATTTTAATTCTGTTCACTGTTTTCCTCCCCAAAAGAGATTTTAGTCTTTCATCGCATAAAATCTTCTTCTTTTTCTCTGGGCAAAAAAGCTTGTTTTCATTGATGTATTCATTAATGATAGAACACACATCATATTGTGAAATTTTTTCGCTTGTGTCTTTACTAATTGATGCAAGAAAATCTATGAGGGATTTTGATCCCCAACCAATAAAATCTCTTTTATTTGATTTTACCTCCCTTTTCACCACAACTTCCTTCCGTTTGGATCTATTCATTTTCTTCACTGGCTTGTGCTCTTCCATATCGGAATCGGATATGAATTGAGTTTCCTCTTCCTTATCAGATTCCTCTGGTTCAAAGCCAGACTCGTAGTTTTCACCCTTTTTCAGTTGAGCACCAGCAGAATGGAGATGCTCTAAAGTCAATCCTTCTTTCTCCTTAATTACCTCCCAATATTCCAGGAACAGGCCCTCATATGTCTCTTGATCTTTGAAGTCTACCCTCTCCTGCAATGCAATAAGCATGGAGTCAGTGAAGAGATTGAGAAACAAAGCTCAAGTTCAATTTACAAAACTACTCCTCACTCACAGAGACAAGAAAAAATCATCGAATTAACAGAATAGTTTGTATTACCAAAATTTCATCTTTTCCAATATCATTTAAATCTTTGAGAAAAGATAGCAAAATAAGGAATACACAAGCAACATAGACAATATTTATGCAGTCGGACCATTGAGTCCAACATTTGTGGAGGAGCCAAATTCGCTATTTTTCTCAACTAAAATTCATAAAATAGAGACGGTGATATCCATCGATACATTCAAAACCTACAGAAGGGTATCCACTGTATCATAATCTCCTAAATAAATTGTTTAGGTGGCTCAAGATCAGCCTTATGAAAACCTAATATTCCCTGAGGAGGTTCTACCCTGTGGAAATGCTCTTCAATGGAACTTTAGCTTTAGCTGGTCGTGACCAAGAAACCACCAGTTTCGCTTAGTGGGCTGGGTATCAAACTCAATAAATAGAATTATGTAATCCTCATCTCCTGCATCTCTTCTTACACTCCCTTGCAGGATAACTTAATTTCCTATGATATCACCAGAGGCATATTGAACCAACCAGTGTTTACGGTGCCTAGCTGATGTTTAAAATGGTTTTCTCTGAGAAAAAACAGAGGGATTCCATACCTCATATTCTTCTCCAATGACATATATATATAAAGTTTACAACAGAAGATATATAGAGTCTACAAAGATATTGAATCAATTACAAATATTATTGCCTAAACCTTAAGTCTAAATGTATGTAACTGAAATTAGTAAATAACGATAGGTTAAAGGGGAGCTAACTAAATGATTTGTCTAACACTCTGTATGATGGCAATTTATGTGTTTGCATTAATTTCTAAGCCTGAGAATGCTGTTGTCAGTATTGTCCTTCTGGTTGGGTAAATAGCCATGGTACTTTTTTAAAGGGTTGTCTCCTTTTCCTTTTGCATATCTCTTCCACATTATCTTTTGGTAAATAAAATATCAATTAAGCAAAAAAGTTTCCAAGAAGTGTATGAGCATGCATCTATAATAAAATCTATAGGCTATTGATATGATTACCCAACTCTCTTTAATTACTCAATTAAATATACTGTCAATATCTGTCCAACTCCATCTCTCTCTCATACACACACACACACAAAAATACACATAGAGTGTTGTTTATGAATTCATTAGAGGTGGCTTTGTAATCTCCCATACATAAGTATAAATATAAAAGATTAAGGGAGATAACCCTAATGTTCTCATTATCTCCTATTTTCGTATAATGTTGTCTATTTTCTCTCTTTTTTCTTTTCTGACTTTCATTATTAGTTTATTCTTTTGGCAATTCTACTGGTATCAGAGCAAAAAATCTGGTTTGAGGGTTGGTCTGGACTGAGCTAGGTTTTTCATGATGCAATGATGTAAAAAATATAAATAAATAAAAATCCCTCCACGATCTACTAGGAGAGCTTTTTTATCCTATATTTTTTTGTGTTTCCATTGGAGAGGCCTTGTTAGAGTTTTTCCATTTTTTATGATTTTCAGCAAAAAAATGGGACATTTATTGGATTTGTGCTGAAGTGTTTTTGAGCATTTCCCTTGTTTCTTTAGCAACCGGGCGTACTGACTCACACATTGGAGGTATTACACAAGGGTCTTGAGAAGTTTTGTTTGATTATATTAGGGTTTGATGGTGTTCTGTGGTAGTCGGTTGTTTCTTTGAGGCCTCTATTGTGCACTAAATGGCACAAAAAAGTGCGCTATTTGTTGTGTTTTGGATACTTTGACCTTCCCAGCAGCACTTGGGTGTTATTGGCTTTCCCCTTTATTGGTTTGACACACAACAGGTCCCCTCTTGAACATTTTTTTGTTGCTGGAGAACTTGTGATAATTTGTCAGGTTGCTAAAAATGTCAGAAGAAAAAGTGGTGTCTCAACAATCATTGGTACTGCTGGCCAAACTATTAAGCAAAAGACACAACAAGTTGACTCATATTTTTAACAATATCACTGCCACATCATTCTTGTCAAGAATTATTGTTAAAATTGATGTATAGATATATTGAATGTATTATTGATTGATGTATATTGATATTTATTACAATGATTCATGATTCCTATATATAGAAGAGGGTGAGTGTGTAGTAGGTGAGGAGTAGGTGAAGAGTAGGTGGAGAGTAGGTGAAGTAGGTGAGTGTGTAGTAGGTGGTAGTGGTAGGTGTGTAGTAGGTGAATTTTAACAATTATGTATATAAATTTTGGGTGGATATCATTATCCTTTTCACATTGTCCATGACACATTGTTTACAAGAAACACTATCTCTCTAATCTTTCTCAATCAAATAAAAATAAAAATATTAATTTATGATGATTTGTGCTATGAATGATGTGTTTTAAAATTAAAAACTTTAATTTGCAACTTATGTGTTAAAATTACAAACTTACATCACCATCGCACGCTAATTTATTACTATTTTAGAATTTTAATTTTTTGTCAAAAAATTGTTATTATCTTATTGTTATTGATTACAAAAAGAAAAATTTTAAGATTGAAATTAATAGGTTCCCCTTTTGAATTAATTTTCAGGCTCCATCACTGCCTGTGGCCACACATACAGGGGCCTAGACGGGCCTTGATTTATGACCATTATTTAAAATAAGAAACTATGATCTGTATTAAAATTGTAGTATTATTGATTGATCTATATTGATATATATTATAATGATTCATGATTCCTACATATAGAAGAGGGTGAGTGTGTAGTAGGTAAGGAGTAGGTGAAGTGGAGGTGGTAGTGGTGTAGTGGGTTAGGTTTAGTGGAGTAGGTGAGGTGGTAGTGGTGTAGTGGGTTAGGTTTAGTGGAGTAGGTTTAAGTGGGTGAAGTAGGTGGAGAGTAGGTGGATTTTAACAGCCCCCCGCAAACTCAAGGGGGATAGGAACTAACCAACTTGAGTTTGGAGAGAGTAACAAAACAAGAAAATACATAAAAATAAAAGAGGATAAGAGACACTGTATGGTGAAGACACTGGATGGTGGTGTCATAACGTTGTAGAGGACACTGTATGGGGGTGTCATAACCATGTAGAGGACACTGTATGGTGGTGTCATAACGGTGTAGAGGACAGTTTATGGGGTCATGTCGGACCGTTGTAGCAAACAGTTGTTGTGACAGTTTACAGAGTCTTGCTGGACCCTTGTAGAAACTAACCGGAATCAATGTCGGGACAGTTTACAGAGTCTTGTCGGACCCATGAAGGAGCTAACCGGAATCAATGTCGAGACAGTTTACAGAGTCTTGTCGGACCCATAAAAAGTCGCACCCTCAAAAGGTGTGCCCAATCTATCAAAAGGCGTGCCATCAAAAGTGGCGAGGAATCCATAAAAAAGCGTGCCATCAAAAGGCGTGCCCAATCCATAAAAAAGCGTGCCATCAAAAGGCGTGCCCAATCCATAAAAAAGCGTGCCATCAAAAGGCGTGCCCAATCCATAAAAAAGCGTGCCATCAAAAGGCGTGCCCAATCCATAAAAAAGCGTGCCATCAAAAGGCGTGCCCAATCCATAAAAAAGCGTGCCATCAAAAGGCGTGCCCAATCCATAAAAAAGCGTGCCATCAAAAGGCGTGCCCAATCCATAAAAAAGCGTGCCATCAAAAGGCGTGCCCAATCCATAAAAAAGCGTGCCATCAAAAGGCGTGCCCAATCCATAAAAAAGCGTGCCATCAAAAGGCGTGCCCAATCCATAAAAAAGCGTGCCATCAAAAGGCGTGCCCAATCCATAAAAAAGCGTGCCATCAAAAGGCGTGCCCAATCCATAAAAAAGCGTGCCATCAAAAGGCGTGCCCAATCCATAAAAAAGCGTGCCATCAAAAGGCGTGCCCAATCCATAAAAAAGCGTGCCATCAAAAGGCGTGCCCAATCCATAAAAAAGCGTGCCATCAAAAGGCGTGCCCAATCCATAAAAAAGCGTGCCATCAAAAGGTAAACTCCCAGCTGGCTCTGCTCCAACGCATGTATAAGGATGCGCGAGCAGAGATAAGCGTGCTAAGGGCAGAAAACAAGGAGCTGAAGCGGAAGGCCACCGTGATGTTCCGATTTGGAGGGCCGCCATATGCTGCAGTGGAGGAGCAGGGAGTAGTGATCATGCCCAGTGGAGTGGGAAACGCGGAGGCAACACCGGCAAGGGCCGCCCAGGACGGAGGCAAGAAGAAAAGACCGGCGGCAGAGTAGAGAATAAAAAATTCCGCCTGTGGATGTGGTTGTTTTGGTTTTTACATAGGTGTTCATTTTTTTTTTTTTTTTTTTTTTTTTTGTGTGTGTAAAAGTATGATCGGGGTTGATCCCTGAAATGAATAAAGCAAGTGTGTTTGGCAAACGCGAATGGTAGGTGTGGTAATGCAGAAAAATCAACTGGAAGGATTTTTTTTTTGTTTTTTTTTTTTTTGTTTTGAAAATAATAATAATAATAATAATAATATGGGTAGAATAAAAAAGAGAGATATAGATATAGATATAAAATAAAGAAAGTGGGGTAGTGAAGACATAATTATCATGATCAAAATAGGATGAGGGGGTAAAATAAAATAAAATAAAATGATGATAGGTGTGCAAACTGTCGGTGGCTTTGCAAAAGAAGGATTAAAACAAATATAAAAAAAAAATAATAGTGGAATGGGGAACAGGAGTGCATGAATTATGTGATATAATAATAATAGTAATAACAAAATAAAAAGTTAGACCATCAATGAGAGAAACAGGGTGTGTGTGTAGGAATCACATATATGCCTCTGTGGGAGTTCTGTGGAAGCCGAGGATTGTGAAGCGAGGTGTGTGGCCTCCTCTGCAGATCTCGGTGAAGGTGGGTGGAGTCTTGGAGTGAAGGAGCTGGAAGATGAGGCAACGGCGTCCGACGCAGAGTTGGAGAGTGGCTGCGGGAGTGGGTCGGTAGCCTGGGAGCCATTGAACGCCGAG